TCGGAAGCTCAATCGGGCAGTGCTCCAAACCCTATCCATTCATGATGTCAACCACCATCTGTACTGGACTGCTGAGGCTGAGTCCATCAGAGAAACTGCAAGAAATGGCTCATGAAGCTTGGGTTCATCGAATGCTTCAAGAAAACACCTTAAAAACTTCAAAACATCTCAAAACTACTTAGTAACTACTTTCAAAGCACATGCTAAGCACAACATGTTCACCACGGATCATCACCGAAGACAGATGAGGAGCTCTGGATCTCCATGTAGAGAAGCCATTGTCATCCGACGTCATCTGATGTTATCTGATGTCATTCAATGTCGAGCTGGTCAAGTTGTGCTGCTCATATTTTACTGATTCCGCTAAGCTTACCTTGCACCAGGAACTTGTCCTACGATGTCTTACGATACATAACAATGCTATCCTGAAATTCCGTGTTTGAAATAAAATATGCTGATTCTCACCCCAGTTGTAGCTAATGGCAGGCCATGGAACAGGGTAGAAGCTGCTATGAGAAGTGGTGGATTTCGCTGGATTTAAGAGCTGTGATCTGTTGCTGGATATTAGATATTGCATGATATTGCAGTGTAAAGAGTGCATTTCATTGTAGGCTCAATGATTTCAATGTCCCCTGTCAGAACTTTCAGGCAATCCCACTTCAATATGCTTGAATGATTTGCGAATGATTTGTGAATGATTTGTGAATGATTTGTGAATGATTTGTGAATGATTTGTGAATGATTTGTGAATGATTTGTGAATGATTTGTGAATGATTTGTGAATGATTTGTGAATGATTTCTGAATGATTTGAATGTCAACTCTGATAATTGTCTGATAACTCTGCAAAAATGTTCTTCCAATTGAGTCAATTGGAGCCCGCGAAGAGCTGCTGCAAATTGGAAGCTGATCGCACCGATAGCGTATCTATACTCGTTGGACACCTTTGCACGTAGTTATATACAGTACTACATGTTACTACGTAGATCTACTGATCTACGCATATAGTTACGACGTAGTTGCGTCTATGATTAGCTCTGTAGCTCCATACCCATCTCTTCGCAGATTAAGTCTGGCTTGTCTGGTTACATCTGGTTACACTCCTTACATCGAAGTCTACACTCTTCTTACCAGCGTCAAGGAATGTCTGTGGAATCTCAGATCGCGCCAAGGCAACTAGAAGGCCCGTTCCAAACTGCAAGACATGTCAGCCATCAAGTCCATGAAGGGAGAAAATGGAATGCAGCAGCACAACTAAAATAACAAGCGTGGCAACTTCAGGGGTGCAAAGTGGCTTGGCCACCATGGAAATAAAAAGGAAAGGAACACGCGCACTGCAGGAAGACTAGAAAAGCAAAAAAGGAAAATCTGCAGATAACCCGTGGAATCACCACAATACTACAGTAGGTAAGCAGCGTTTACGTGGTGAGCCCTGGATCCAGTGAGCTACTGGGTCCCGCATTTCGACACCAAAATTTTGAAGTGCGAAGTAAGGGACAAACGTGGAGAGTCCTGAAACACCAAGGACCAACCTGTGACGTCTAAAGATGTCTAAAGATGTGCGAGCGTCTGCATTTCCAGACGGAGAAACTTGCAGGCAAATCTTGTGACACAAAGAACACTAACTCTCAGTGACTTTCCTACTCTGGACCGACTGACCCGGCTGAAGTCCCAAACACGTGCGGACAAGAATGCCAGACAGCGTGCTGGAGAACGCTAAGACAGCCCAATATCCAAGGAAGTTGACTTGGACCGCTCAGCCTGAAACAAATTCTGCGGTCATTCTGCACATTCCCAGTATGGCCTGATCCTTCCTTTTCGCTGGTTGAAAGGCCGTCATGATAAGGTCTCTGTACCTGGAAAGTGAACAAGAGTTTTAATATCATACGTGATCGGGGCACGAAAAAAAATGTACGAAATCTATAATAAAACTCAGTTCTGCTTGACTTATACATACAATAAGGGAAACAGATTTTTTGGACAGTCTCAGCCGGGCAGAAGTGTGCTGCTTATTCAAGAAACTGCTAGAACCTTAACCAAAATGGTTGCTGGTGAAGCTAGTCTCAGCCAAAACCCTCCAAGAATCACATTGTTCACTCTTGAGGCAAATGTGTTTCGGATTCAGATCAGACCCTGAATGCGAAGACATCAGGTTGGCACTTCAAATTCAAAGGTGCATCTTCTGAAGGCCTTCTGGCATCTGCACAAAGGAAGAACCTTGCACTGCTCAAAAGCCACTCAAACGCACTTGTCTGAGTTGCTCTTGAGTGCCAGGGCTGCCAAAGCTGAGGCTGCAGACTGCAGCAGCCCTCTCAAAACCTTTTCATCCTCGCATCTTAGTCTCCAAAGTCTACATCGGCAAAGGTTATGCAAAGTCAGTCAGTTTTTTCAAAACCCACTATGATCAATCAAAATACCACAACTTTTCCACAGTTTTCCATGTACATTAGCATCTCATTGCCACACCATTGCGCCCTTTCTACGCCCTCACGCCCAAGGCCCTGCTCCAATTCTCCTCCGTGAGGTCCATGGCCTGGAAGGATTTTAGCATTTTAGCATCATGATTTTAAGTTTATAAAGTTTAGCACAAGAATCATATCATTGTCATATCGACCGTACCGGTGCCATACCAGTGCCATACCAGTGCCATACCGAGCGCAACAGGATCGCAACAGAATCGCATTGAAAAGCCCACTGGCTGATATCATCTCAATCATATTCTCAGGGTTGCAGCATGTGATAAAATAATAAGTCCTTCTCCCATTTGCTCATCCTGGAGATTGCACATTGACACGTGCTTAGAATCCAGGTTGAAGTACTGAATCTCCTTTGCTTTGGGATACATTGAGAGCGGCCGTCTCACTGTTGAATTGGAAAGCAGACGCTCCAAAGGGCTTAGGGTCACTGCCTGTAGCTTCTTGGGCTCAAGGCACAGGGCATGCTGTTTTTGAGGCCCATTGATTTGCCAGAGACACCCTCTTCTGCCTGTGAGATCTCCCAATATAAGGACAGCACATTATGTCAACCAGACAAACTCTTCTTTCACAAACGTAAACTTTTCTGACGAAGGAACAGATTTCCACGTACAGTATACCTCTTCAAAACCGTACCTGGAAATTTTCTCCTCGCACAGCGGCTTTTACTCTTAAGCTTGAACTGTTCAAGCCGAATCAAACCGTTCTTATACTTGCCCGCTCACGCGCTGCTGGTGACTTTTTCAGCGACTTCCACCAGTTTTCCGTTTTTTATCTAGCTGCGTTTGATAAATCTACGGTGTATCTACAGTATATATAGAGGCAAGTGCATCTTGGATTAGGGTTTGAAATCATAACTTCTTAGACTCTTTAACTTTCGAGACTTTGCAGTCAAGGTTTTGCCTCCTCGCTCCACTTGGTGCCACCCATCTCATTTACCATGTCTTTCTATCTTTTGTTTGCATGTGCGGATGTCGCTCTGTGGTCTCGACAATATTGCCAATGCTATTCGTAGTTTCAGGAAAACAGAAGAATGTTTGGACGTTTGGACTTTCTTACGGTTCGCTCTAATCTACAAATCCCATCTTGGAACAAGCGAGGCCACCTACAAAGACCCATGAACCCAACACATAACAAATTCAACCAAACATGTGACAAGAAAATAGATGTTGTGACTTCAGCATGCAAAAGGATGAACAGTACTCACTGCGAAATCCTACAGCATCCCAAGCAGCTAAAGTCATAGGCATCGGAATGGCATGCTGCTTGCAATGGACAGATCATTCTTAACCCAGTTTGATCCCCTGCCTGAAGAATGGCCGCAGGCTCAGTTTACTCACTTTACTCGCTCTCTTCTGCTCTCTTCTTTGCTCATGTTTTGAAGTGGCCCGCGGCCCGAGGACTGAGTGTGTGAGAAGCATATACAGTATAATACAGCATATATATATAACTTTTATAACGAGTATCTGACAGTGGCTTTTGGTATTTTCAGAGCACTTGGCACACCAGTGAAGTCACAAGTCACATGGGCTGTTCACAAATACAGAGGTTTAAAATAGCTTAAAATCGAAAAATACATCCCCCTCCGGGTCATGTCTTTGGGAACACCTGGTTTAAGGGTCTCTGATGCTTGGACCGTGCAATGCACATGCCTGCGTTCCCTGGTGCTATTTGCATTGCATCCGAAAAATCCTGCAGACATGCATTTCATGTGCATTTCTTTTACAATTTGCAAGGCAGTGCTGCTCTTCATTGCCATCATATGCCATCATCGTCACTAGTGACTGCACGGGATATGCCACTTGTTTCTTTGCGGCCCAGAATCTTGTGAAACGTCCCTTCCTTTCAGGAGAGAGCAACCGGTGCACTTTCAGAGGGCTTGAATAAGCCTCTCACTTTCTTTACTCTTTTGTAGTTTTTGTACAAATCGTTCTTTCATTATCCAATGGACTCAATGGACCAATGGTCCATCAACGTGCACTATTTCTTGGCCTTGGCCGTATAAGTTGCAAAGCTCGGATACACTTTGATACACCAAGATATACCAAGATACATTCAGATACACAGACATAGACCAAAATACCTTAAGATACACTAAAATACACTAAGTCTCATTAAGTCCATGCCAAGCTGCCAAGCGCTCCATGAACTGCTGCTCCCTTTCCGCCAGTTTGGCCTGATAAAGGCACATGAAAAGACCATGCACGGAGACACAAAGGATTACAAAATTAGAGACGCCCTCGCAGTGCCAACATGGAGATTAGTTGAGATTAGCAGCATTTGCCATTTGCCATGGATTTTGATTGATTTTGACGACAGCCAAAAGGACAGATCGCAGACCAAGGAGACACATCAAATGCTCCCGAGATCTGCAAGAGACAAGGAGAAGCCTATGCACAAGGAGGTAGAACAAGGTACAAGGACCACAAGGAGGTACAAGGAGGTACAAGGAGACATGGTCGACTAGTGGTCGACTATTGTTCAACTTAAGTTCTTGAACAGCTTTGCCAAGGCAGCACGCCAGTGCCTCCAGTCTTGCTTCAGTCATGCGAAGTTTTTCCTGAGCAACCCACTTCCACAACGACCAATTTGCATCAATCGAAACAAAATGAAATTAGTCCGATGGATGGTTTGTGAAAGATTAACACAAGCACAGCGTTGGAGCCTCCACGACCTTCTGGATCTCTTCAGACAGGTCCTCGAATCGTTGAAGCAGAGAACGCATGACATGAAAGGTGTTTCATTTCAAATGGTAGGCCCTACAGAGAAGCTCTGAAGAGAAGCTCTGAAAGGGAAGCACGTGCAAGACATGTGCACACATGCGCCATGTTGCGCAAATATATATATATATATACTTGTAGATCTTATACATATATATATATATATATACATTTATTATTATATATATAACAATATATATATAACTATATAACTATATATATACACATTTATAATTTATAATTTATAACTATATATATATACAAGTGTGGTCAAGTGTGCATGCATCTGGTACCTATCATCCATCTACTGGGCTAAGGATGCAAAAGTCACAAGAATCAAGAAGGTATCTTGTCACACCCAAGATGTTCAAAAGCATGCCAGGTGTACTGAGACTTGCATAGACTTATGGCTTGTGATCATTGCCGCTAGCAGAGCACTACAAGTGTTTCTTTGGTAGGAGTACGGTTCAAATGTGCAAGCATAGCATGACTGAAGTAGGAAAAGGTATTCCTGAGTGAAAAGTAATTGTGCGAAGACGGCGCAGCTGTCTGTTTGACTGTGGCATCTCTTGCCAAAATACTGACATACATTTCATGTTGCCTGCATAGATGTCTATCATGCCGGACCTCTCCAGCACCTCCGGCTGTTTTCTCCTGCAAAATGGAACATTGCTGAGGAGAAGCCCTGTAGCGACATTCAGACATGGAAAGTCATGGAAAGATGCAAAATGGGAAAACACGAAAGAAGAGAAGGAAAGACATGGGTGTCCACGGTGTCCACAGTTCCACATCTGCCTCAGTGCTGGCACCAGTTCCATCGTCTGCATTTTCAGGAGTCTGCTGTGGCCTACGCAAAGCGAGTGGATCCGAATAGGACCCTAACATACCCAAACAAGAAATCCATGCAATCTGCCACAACATGAAGAGGTTGTTATTCTAATATTCAAAGTTCTCAAGAGCAAACGAATGCAGCACATTGCAACACCAAACGGCCTTCTACTTGGCTTCTGCCTGGCGTTTGCCAACGCGGGCGGAAGTATTGGCCTCCGACAGGTTGTAATCAGTCAACAGCAAGGATCATGATGCCGTTGCTGTGACACTCCTACAAGCTGAATATGTTATCTGTAACTAACAGCACCGTCAGCAATCAGACTATGTTTGTGTTCCGACTTGCTTTTTTTGTTCCATTTTGTTCCCTTGTATGAACTTGTAAATGTTTTTAAACGTGTTCTGTTTTTTGTTTCGTGTTTTTCCTTGTCAGCGCCTCTCCACCTCAACGCTGAAACGCAACGTCTCCACGTCTCGTTCACATCGGGCGCAGAACTGGTACAACAGGAAATGCCTGTCCAAGGAAGAAATGTCTCATAGGAAATCTGAAAGGCACTGAAAGGCATCAAATTAATGTCACCTTTTCAGGTCAAAAAAAGCTGTTCTCAAAGTGTCTTGAGCTTGGGGCTTGAACAAAGTGCCAGAGGTATAGTCCGTCAATCGGCGAGCCTGGCACCACATGTTCTTTTGTCATTCAAGCTCCGTTTCACTCCCGGATTCACCATGATCAAAATATATCAAAATCAGAGTTTGTGAACTCTTCAGCTTGAAGCAAAACCTTCACAATTCAATGCTGACCTGCGCCCCTCCAAAGATCATTAAGCCTTGTGCGCTGACTGCAGAGCATCATCAATGCCATGGCCCAAAACGCACAAGCACATTTTTCCAAGAACATTTCTTCCCTGATCTCTGAAGAACCAGAATTTAGGACAACGCGTTTGGGGGGGTCATTCACGGAATGGTTGAGGAGTAGCCGCTGGAATTCTTTGAAGCACCTGAGCCGGAGTCCAAATTCTCGGAGAAAACAGCAACTTTCCCATGTGGCACGAGGTGAAAACGTGATGTGTTCCAAACAGTTTGAGATGGGCTCAGGTCACCAGGTGAGCGCCCAAGTGTGCTGAGTTCAGGTACTCTGCAGCAGTTGCACCCTGTGCGAAACAAGCAGAGTGCATGGAAGTTCATGCAACTCAAATTTCAAGATACCGAAGTAATGTCAGGATCTGTCAAGAACTTTGTATGCTGGCCATGGGACAATCCCTTACCAAAGTTTACTTGCTCTTGGTGCAGGAGTCTCACCTGTGAATCCCTGTCTGTGTTCCAGCCGGCCATCATATCCTGCAAAGACAGTTGATTTCAGCAATGTGAACCAAGAAACTTGGCATACCGAGATATACCAAGATATTCAATGCAGAAGCAGTTAGGCGAAGGCTTATCGACCTATCGTCCGATCAGGCTGCCAGTCCAGAATGACAGCCATGATGGCGTGGAAGACTGCCCCTTGCCTGCTCAGAGCGGTTTCCATGCACACAAACTACGGTCGAACCATGTCCCAAGATGTCCCAAGACCAAGATATCCAGAGACATCCAGCAAAATCCGGAATGTCTCCAACCTCTGTGTCAAGCACAGCATCTTGGCATGGCTGAGGTTGAACAAGTGGAAGTCACAGATGATCTCCCTGCGTGCGCCCACCAACACAAGAAGACGGAATGTAAAGTGTACCATTTCATGCGATCTGTATTGGTGGGCAATGAACAAATCACCATGTGGAAGAAGAAACCTCGGCATAGCCTGTAGAAAGAAGAAAAACATGTGGAAAGTTGAAGAGACGGCAAAGGACAACGTGCACGTCGCTGTTTCTTTCAAAATCAAGAAGGCCTCCGAATTAGCTGTTGCGCATGGGATGCCAAACATAGGCTGAAACATGAACTCAAGTTGCGCCGGACAGACTCAAGATACTGAACTCGATTTTGAGACCAACATGCCCGGACAAGCTGGGTATCAATGTGAACCGGTCTGTTCCAGATAGGGGGCTTGCATGTGCCTCCTTTGAAACCTCTTAGCATCCAAGCTCCTCTTTGCATTATATAAATTATATAGTTGATTTGCGCACTTAAAGGAACTCATATGGTTGTGTGAATGGCCCTCATTTGGGCTTGGTGTCGGAATCATATGGTTGCAGGTGCAGGCCCAAGTTTGCCGACTTTTAAGCTATAAAGAAACTGTATTGCTGCTGCGAAGAGTGTTCCGTCAAATCGCAAGTGACCCCACAACGTTAGCTCACGACACAGGCAATTATTGAACGTTTCTAAGTTGTTGAAGGGATGTTTTTGATCGGCATTTTCACCGTGTCAGGCCTTGTCGGGATGTGTCCCGTTTGGTGATTTTGCAACCGGTCTTAATCAAGGCATGTCAGCGCGAGCGACGTGACCACTTTGGCTGCAGAATGAAACGAGTCTTAATCAGCAGGGGGCACTTTCCAGGTGAGGCGGCCAGTTTTTTTGATTAAAGCAATTTATATTGCATATGTATTTAATAACAATGTTGAAGCAAATAAACGATTTGTCAGGGTCCAAACATGTCCAAATGAGCTCAGCTGAAATTGAAAGAACCTGCCCAGGTCGGCCCAACTCATTGCTACAGCAATGGCCTTCGAGCAACTGGAGGGTGGGCAGCCTCCAAACCTGCATGAGTGAAGAGAATCGCTAAGCCCGCTAAGCTGCTGAGCATCAGATCTGCCAGATCTGCAAAGCAAAAAGTGTTCAGCGTTGAATATTTCAGGCTGCATCAGGCTGCGGGCTGCATCGGCTGAAGCCTTGCCTAGCAGCTCTGTCAGCAACTTTGACTGCCCAGCACAATCCAACGCCCAAATGCGGCCCACGTCCTTCGTGGAGAAAAGATGAGAAAAGGCTACACAGCCGACACAGACCAGACTTTCCGACTTTCCTTCTGAGTGCCTTTGCTTTTTCATCTGAAATCTAACGATCAACTGAATCAATTGATCAACAAATTCACAAGGATCTGGAAGTCTTTCAGGGAACTACTTTCCACAGAAATCGGAAGGCTTTTGCTGGGCTCTGCTGTGCTGAGATCGCAGCATTTGGAGTCAAAGGCAATTTCAGGCCTGTCTCCAGCTCAGACTCATCTCCCTGTGTGCGGATGCCCCAGTTGCAACTGGGACAAGTCCGACATGGAAAAACGTGCTTCAAACGTGCTTCTCAAAATGAAAAGTGTTCATTTTGATTCATTTATGTCAAATTTATGTCATGCGAATTTATGTTGATCGTGATGATCTGAATTCATTATCGCTCTTCTTTTATACCTCGACAAGTTCAGGCTCTTCAGGCTCCACGGGCTCCTGCACATTTTCACAAGTTTAAGATAGTTTAAGTATCTATAGAATCTATAACTTCAAAATACTTCCTAGCTTAGTCGGGCTCTTGAGCTCTCTGACTAAGGCTAAGGCTCTTACAAAGGCTCTTTCTAGCTGCAATCTGCTGCAAGGGTCACTGCAATGGCTTGATTTCTGTGAAATGTGTTTACCACTCGGTGAACTCCTCCACAGGTACCTTTTTCGGCGCCATAGGACTGCACCGAGGGAGGTTTCTTTGAAGTGAAAACGGCAACAGAAATACAGCGACCTTTCAGTGTTTTCAGTGTGCACCTGTGGTCAACAAGACTGAGTAGACTCACTGAACGCAACAGATACAATGCAACAGATGGATCAAGATAGGTTTGCTTGATGTTTCTTGCATGGCGCCAAAGTACTTTTTCAGCTTGCTCTCAAAGGCAGTATACACACTATTTGGACGGTAGAGATCGTCGAAAATCCTGCAACTTTGCCACGATGTCTTCCTGCAATGAACAAAGCAAGGTACTTTGCAAATGGTGCATAGTTGCAACATGGACGATGCAACATCATAAATAGTATCAAATAGTTACTATTAAATTAAATACTATTAGTCACTCCAACAGCGAAAATGCGATGCCGGTGTTTAGGACAACAGGACGCAGCAACCGAAATGCTGCTTCGGCACCGTGGCAGTCAAGTCCACAGAAAGCGTCAGAACCTTTCCCTCGTACACCACACTCCGGCCATCAATCCAAACGTGGCTCACCTGCCGAGAGAATGAACAGCTCTACATTTGTTCCGAGTGCAGGCTTTGAATCAATTGAAATGCGAATCGGGGAGCAACACGGAAGGTGTGTACCCAAGAAACGGATGAGGGAGGGAGGAACGTCGAGAAATCTCAAGCGGATGGAAGCTAAAAGAATTCAATAAAAGAACATGAGGCCGTAATATACTACTGTAAGAATGCATAGGAACAGAGACCTATACTGCAACTGTGTTGTGTCACGTTGTGACAATGTTGTGACAATGCAAGAACCCCCATGCGCTTTGCACAGCTTTCCACCTGTCTACAGTTCGTGTAAATGAGCTGGCCCAAGGGATCAAAGATAGGTGAAGCCTGCCAAATCTAAAGCAGAGCAAAAAAAAACCTTGAGCACATGCCTCCAAGCAAAGCAAACACAGCTACACCATGCTACACCGCATACAGTCGAAATATGTCGAAATCATTCGAATACATTGAAATAGTCGAAATATGTCGAAATAGCCAGCGGAAGATGTAGCTTGAAAGCTGCGTGCTCGGCGCCTCAATGCTTCCAAGGTCAACAGCTACAAGATCTGCCGCCTTTCCAACCTGATTTTGAGGCAAGGGCAACAAGGGCAACAAGCAGTGGCAAATCCTTTCAGAGTACTGACTGATCCTGGTGATTCCTGATGTCTCCGTCATTGTCATGCTTCTGTTTTTCCTACCTGGGCTGGTATTCTGATTTGACAATGCTGCAACAAGACTGGAATGCAGACAGACTTGACACAGGTGTGCTCCCAACAAATTGCATTGCGGAAATAGTCAAAATGGCAACCGGGAATTGATAGATTCTTTTTCATGACGCTTCACAACTAAGAGGATTAGGTACTCGTCAATACTTTTGGGCAAGCAAAGCTATGACAAAAAAAGATACACGACAACTCCCATGCCTAACTACTCCACATGCTTTGAGACTTGCTGGGACCACAAGGCAGGGAGACATGCTGGGAGATGGGGCACAAAACAGCAGCAGAGAGACTGAGAGACAAGCTGGGAGATCAGCCAATCTTGAAAGCGCGGATATGGCTCACAGTCACAGAGATCAAACACATGACATACTCAAATTTGCCCTTCCCTGTACCGAGAATATCTGCAAGGCATCGTATGGTCATAGGCTAAACAAATCCGCCCGCACCGAAGGTGCTGGGGCGTGATCTTCCGGATGGCACTCGTAAAAGGTTACAGGTTTACCTGGGGGGGGGGCATTTTTCGGCCAAAACCTCCTGTTTTTGATAGGTCGTGACGCTCGCCTTCAAAAAACACTGTAAAAAACAGTACGGAAGACACCTGTTCGTGAACGCGCCCGTCCAAAATCGGCAAGCGAAAAGTGAAAAAATCCCGTGTTTTTCAACTTTTTGACCTCAATTTTTTGGTTTGCAACATCTTTTTTTGCGGTTCCGCAGGTGGCCTGGCCCGGAGGCGGATTTTTGAGTTTTTGGACCCGTTTTCGGACTGATTTTCGTCGTTTTGTGGTAGCAGAAACACTGGTTTTTACAGTGTTTTTCTGTTTTCTGCATGCTTGACGGCTAGCTTCAAAACTTCCAAAAACCTCGTAAATTACGCTGTTTTATGTTACGGTGTGAATGAAAACATCGTAAATACCAGTGTTTTTTGACGTTGGTATTTACAGTGTTTTTGGCCACCTGACCCTCAAAAACCATGGTATTTGCAGTGGTTTCTGCTTCTCACCGCGCAAAAACACTGTAAATAAGAGCAATTTCGCCGTTTTTTCATGTTTTTCGTTATTTTTTGAACTGCGTTGGTCCGCTATACATGGCTATCAAATTCTTCGCGTGTTTTTTTCCCGACAATCAGTACTTTCGGATGTTTTTGGTCTCAATGGCCGACATCATTGGCAGTTACGAACGATGCGGTGCGGGCGGTTGCCGTCGCGAAGCGACGTGAATACATACGAGCATCGGGCGCGGGAATGCCTAGTTGGTTGCAGTTCAATACCTCTTTATTTGAAGGAGAGCCAGAGAAACGATCTACTGTAGAGATTCAGCCATTTCCCACTGATATGCATCAGTTTCCCCAAGTGTGCCTAACGCACTCCTGCCCAAATTCTAGGTCGGATCCTGCCACAGAGCCTTCATACGAGATTGTCATCCATCCTGACCTTCATGCACCCTGAAACGATGGGGACCATTTCATGTTTGGAAAATCTGAGCAAGATTTGTTGTACTTCCCCAAACTTGAAACTGACTGGAATGAGCCTACAACAAAGCCAACCTAGTCACTAGTCCAACAATCTGACATGTAGAATCTGAAATCGAATCAAGGCACCTACTGCAGAAGCATGACATTAAATCTAGTGCTGCATGTGCATATGCATATTTATCAAAGGAAGTTTGGTAGAGAAACTCCGAGTTACGGAAAGTGAACATTCTCACTAACCAAGAGATCATTAATTCGCATTCTCACTAACCCAAAGACCGTTGTGTTCAGTTGGCACCTGCATTAAGAGATCATTAACTCACATTTTCACTAGCCCAAAGACCGTTGTGTCCAGTGGGCACCTGTGTGAAGCAGAGAAGAGGTAGAGTAGGGGTAGAGTAGAGCCGAGCAGAGTAGAGGTAAAGTAGAGAAGAGCAGACTAGAGTAGAGGAGGGTATAAAGTAGAGCAGAATAGAGTCTAGAAGGGTAGAGCCGAGCAGAGTAGAGTTAGAGGTAAAGTAAAGAAGAGTAGAGAAGAGTAGAGAAGAGCAGACTAGAGTAGAGAAGGGTATGGAGTAGAGCAGAATAGAGTCTAGCAGAGTAGAGTTAGAGGTAAAGTAGAGAAGAGTAGAGAAGAGCAGACTAGAGTAGAGAAGGGTATGGAGTAGAGCAGAATAGAGTCTAGAAGAGTAGGGCCGCGATTTTGGTGTTCAGGTGATTTTTTCTTTGTTGTTGTTGTTGTTGTTGCTGGTGGTGGTGGTGGTGGTGGTGTTGGTGTTGTTGGTGTTGGTGTTTTGGTGTTTTGGTGTTTTGGTGTTTTGGTGTTTTGGTGTTGGTGTTTGGGTGTTGGTGTTTTGGTGGTTTGGTGGTTTGGTGTTTGGGTGTTTGGGTGTTTGGGTGTTTTGGTGTTTTGGTGTTTTGGTGTTGGTGTTGTTGTTGATGATGACGTTGACATTGACGTTGACGTTGACGTTGATGATTTTCCTTTTAAAATTCCTTTGAGGTGCTTCAAAATCGTCGTTTTCCGCTTTGGCGTCAAGATCCAGTTTTGGAGCTGCAATTTGTGCAGCTGTTGTGCGTAATTCCATTATGTTTTGCAACTGTGTCTGCAGATCGCAGCGGAATGGCTGTGTTAAGGCTCCTCGCCACTGCAGCTGTGTGCGTAATACTTTGGTCTTTTGCAGCTGAAAATCGTAAATCGTATTGTAGTGGCTGCATGAAGGTTGCGAATAGTGCTTTGGCAGCAGATTTTGATCCATTTTGGCACATCCTGCGTAGCAGATTCTCTATGTGAAAGCTTATCTGTGTAGAAGCTTGCTGTCTGTGAAAGCTTCTCTGTGTGAATGCTTGTGCTCTGTGCAAAAGTTTCTGTGTGTAAAAGCTTCTATGTGTAAAAGCTTCTGTGTGCAAAAGCTTCTCTGTGTAAAAGCTTCTCTGTGTAAAAGCTTCTCTGTGTAAAAGTTTTTCTGTGTAAAAGGTTCTCTGTGTCAAAACGAGCTGAGAAGAGTTGAGAAGAGGGAAGAGAGATGAAAAGAAAGCTGAGGAGAGTCAAGACGAGGTGCACAGAGATGAGGGTCGTTGAGAGGTGACAAGAAGTGAGAAGAGCTCAGAAGCTGTGAGGTTTCACTGCATCTCCTATAGGCAAACCTTGTTTTTGGATCCTATAGTGTGACAGTCCTTAACCCTGGAAATTTCCGCCACCCGCCTCGTGCGGATTTTACTTGTACATATTCACATAATCCAACCGATAATCATGCAAATTTGTGATCCCGAATCCCGGTCCGCTAGCCCCTCCCCCATATGTGTATCTGCATATATATATATACACACATACATACTCATAGATACATGTAGTACAACAGTATATAGGTACGCGCTTGATTCACAACTTCCTCATCCAAATGCTCTCGCACGTCCACTATGACATACACTACGATCCGTAAAAACAAATGAAGAACGCCATGGCATTGGAATGCATAGCATGTGACTTTGAAATCATTTTGTGGGAGGCGAATCTCCATGACTCCGACTCCGGCATGATGGACATGCATCTAGGCACTGTTTATACATCTTCATACTACACTGTATACTACACTTTATGCAGAACCAAGGAGTGCAAATTTTACACTGAGGACCTCGAGGAGTTCAGTCACAAGCCTGAGGACATGACCCGCAGAGATCCAGTCTCCTTGTCTAAACCCAAGGCTCGAGCACCACGAATGGTGGCCATTTCCAAGACTTCATGGGCGGGCAACACCGTTGGATCCCCAGTGCTTCCTTTTGCGATCATCGATGCATACTGCATCCTCAGCTCAGGCTATTTCCAATCCAAGCAAATCCAAGCACTTTCCACAAACACAAACCAGAATAGAGAGGATATAATATAGACTTTTCACCGTACTGCCTGCTTTCTCTGGGGTGTACATTTTTGTCTGATACTTGAGGAACTATCAAAAAGTCTTATTCATGTGACAAGCCAAGGCGATGGGCTTCATCATGTGTGCAAGTTCGTCCTGTTTACTGCAAAAAGCTGTCTTCTCTAGCATGAAAAAGAAAGATAAGGAAGTAAATGACAACAGTAAAAGCTCAAGCACGAGCGCCAAATCACAACCAAGGCCTCAGACATTGCAAGAAAAACACAATGATTGGAGAAAATTACAAACTGTTGAATTGAGACAGAAAAAAGGACAAAATATGCAGAGATTCTCGGTGAGCATGTCCAAAGTGTTGTTGGAGGATGCACCATCAGTTCCAAGACAAACATTGACTCCTGCCTCTAACATTGCAGCAATACGAGCAATACCTGATCCCAGCTTGAGATTGCTTCTAGGACAGTGCGCCACATTGGCCTTCCTTTCTGCCATGAGCTTGATCTCATCATCCGTCATGTGAACGCAGTGCGCTGCAACCGTTCGAGAATTCAATAGGCCAAGTGAGTCTAAGGCGTCCATCGCCGACTTTCCAGTTTTTGCAAAGAGATCCTCGATTTCCTTCTTTGTTTCGTGGAGATGTGTGTGTATCACCACATGAGTTCCGCTACAAGCTTCATCATATGCTGCTTTGGCTTCCTGCAGTTTCTCCTCTGGCACCATGTAAACTGAATGGGGCAACAGTGATGGTCGAACGTGTGAGTCTGGAGCTAGCGCTGAGCAAAAGTCTACATTTTGCTTCACCAGTGCGCTGAAAGCAGCATCGTCTCCAAAATACAGCAAACCAGCTTGTGTTAGAACTGCCTTCATTCCAGCCTGGCGAGCGACAGAGGCGGTAGCATCGCCGTGAAAGTACATGTCGTTGAAGATCGTCGTCCCGGTTTTCAACATTTCATAACATGCCAGCTCAGACCCACGTCTCACAAATTCTTTGGCTTCATCCACTGGCGCCTCAAAAACGAACTTACCTTCGGTTGGAAAAATGTGCTCAAACAGCCACTCGTTCAATGGCAAGTCATCGGCATAACCCCGCAGTAATGACATCGGGGTGTGAGTGTGAGCATTAACCAAGCCTGGAATTAGGATATGAGTTGGCAAATGCAGATCTGGCTCGCCGCCAAATTGCGTTTTTGGTAATATCGCACGAATTCGCCCATTCTCAATACAAAGGATGTGGTTTTCCAGAACTTCACTAGACTCTGCAGTAGCAATCCAGCGAGCAGAAATGCTCCGGATTTGAGATGGATCTCGTGTTGGATTCGACATTGACGAACCCATCAGAACAAATGCAAACGCAACGCCGCTGAAAGCCAAATCACCACCTCGCAGGACTTGAAGTGCCTGCAAAAATTACACGGTGGTTCCCGCGGTTCCCTCAGCTTGAGCCCCACCGTAGCAAGGGCAGGAATCAGGTTGAGCTCAAATGCCAACTGGTTTATTGATGTTTTTGCAACAGCAGGCCGTAGACATTGCACAAAACCACCAAGAGGTCTGTCTTCCAAAGTCAAAAAGCAAAGCACACAATGCCCAGTCCACAGCCGGTCGACGCTTTAAAATCGTAGCTGAGAAAGCAAAAACATGCAAGACACTTTAGGAAGTAAAGGAAAGCACACGAACAATGTTTTCAGTGAGTCTGATGCTTTTGATCGTCGTCGCATCTTTGGAACTGCAACACATGCAGTTTCTTCACGCCTAGTGAGACAGTGAAACTTTATGAAACTTGAGCCTATCTACATTTATCTACAATGTGAAATATCGACCTACTTATCTTGACTGATCTTGACACAAGCTTCGTTGAGTGCTTTGCCCTTGACACGAAATCCCCAGGCCGAGGCCAAAATGGACGCACTGGGCACAATGGGCACTGACTGCCGCTTGGCCAAAGCAAAGGGCCTCCCAAAGGACCTCCCACTTTGGCCCAGTGGCTCCTCATTTTGACTTGGCACGGGAGGAGCCACCACTGGCCTTGGAAGCCGACCGTGGGTACCTTGGACTCGCAGATGCTCGCGACAGAACATACAAGAACAGAATAGAAAAGAACAAAAGGTTTGTAAAACAACTTATGCACATAATAGGTATATATATATCCCTAAACATATACATATATATATATATACAAATAAAAAGGTATATATGCACATATGTATATACAAATACATATATATATATATACAAATATTAACAAATATATTTACATACATATATATATTTTTTCATTTGTATTTAAATATATGTCATTTGTATAAGTATGTATTTATATATATATACAAATGTATGTACCAAAAAATAAAACCAAACAAGAAGAAAAAAACAGAAAAATATTAAAATATCAAAGAGATAGAAGAAATGTAAGAAGTAAAAGAAGTAGAAGAAATAAAGGTACAAGTAATAAAAGTAGAAAAAATCAAAATATATAGGTCATATATGAAAATATTTATATCTAATATACTGTACACACATAAAAGTACATCACATACAGATATATCATGTATACACCTGATGAAAATTGTATATATATTGTTACATACATATGTACATATACAGGGATACAAAGGTACATGTATACATACGTGTATATATATACATATACATATATATTTATACATATATACATATATACATATATATGTACATATGTATGCACATATATATATATATATATATACATGTACATATGTATATTTTATTTTATATATATATACATCTTTATATAAATACACATATATACACATTTTGATATATATATATATCGTTGGTATATATACATATATATATATCATTTTAATATATTATACATACACATGTATGTACCCAAAAAAAGAAAACAAAAACAAGAAGAAAAAACAAGAGAGAAGAAAAAAAAATATCAAAGGAATAGAAGAAATAGAAGAAGTAGAAAGAAGTAGAAAAAGTAGAAGACATGAAGATACAAGTAGTAAAAGTAGAAGAAATCACAATATGCAGATCATAGACGCATATATTTTCATGGGTTATCAAACCACCCCCAGGTCGAGCCACCCCCAGGTGTGGGCTCCTTATTTTTTCCCTTATTCATTTCCTTATTTGTTTTTGAGGGATTCTGCCAGATTGAGGTTATTGAACGGCCAACTTGAAGACTATTTGAACTATTTGGGGCTATGTGTCGTCCTTATTCAAAGCCTTATTTGAAAATGATGTTTTCTTATTTGAAAACATAATCTTGCCTTATTTGGCCAACCGTGCTTCCTCTATGAGGAAGGTGAAAAAATAAGAGAAGCATTATTTGGAAAACCGCATATAGCCTTATTTGGCTAACCATGCTTCCTTCATGAGGAAGGTGAAAAAATAAGAGAAGCATTATTTGACAAACCGCATATAGCCTTATTTGGCTAACCGTGCTTCCTCTATGAGGAAGGTGAAAAAATAAGAGAAGCATTATTTGGAAAACCGCATATAGCCTTATTTGGCTAACCATATACCTGATAAAATACCTATTAACCACTAATCAGCATCAACCGCTTCACATTTTTTCCTGGCTAGGCTTGCTTGGCCAAGCTCAGTACTCTCCACCTGCCTACTGCCAGCCTCCCAATCCCGCACATCTGTATGGTTGTGTTTATTACCAGCCATCAGCTACCTGCACAGGTCACTCGCCACCAGCCAGCAGCACACCAAATACGGCCTTCTATTAGTGCCTAATAGATACTGTCTAGACACTTTTTGCCCATCAGGGTGAGCTTGTGGATTGGAGGGTTTGTAACATGCATCCTTCACCAAGTCGAGCCACAAAAGGTTATATATATATATATTTTTGATAACAGCATATAAATGCACTTAACTGGACATTATTCTGGGACTGAGCTAAGTAGCTGGTGGCGGGGGGGGGCAGGGCTGGCTGCAGGCTAGGCAGAGCAAACCCTATTGGGCACTAATAAGCACTAATAGCTCCTTCAGCTTGGACTGATAAACCCTAAACCCTAAACCCTGAGGTGGGACCGAGCGGGCTAGCTGGTGGCAGGAGCTAGGCACCACCAGGTGAGAGGGTAGGGCTGGGCAGCTGGATTGGTGCAGGAAGGGTTTTGAGCTGGGAGGGGTGGGGGGGGTGGTGGGGATGCTGGGCCAAGCTAGGCTATAAACAAGCCCTATTAGGCACTAATAAGCACCAGTAGCTCGTTAGGAGGTGGGAGTGAGCCAGCTAGCTGGTGGCAGGAGCTGGGCACAACCACCAGGTGACAGGGCAGGGCTGGGCTGCTGGATTGGTGCAGGACTGAGAGGTGGATAGGTATTGAGCTGGGAGTGGGGAGGGTGGCAGGCGTGCTAGGTGCTGGATTGGTGTGGGGCTGGGAGGTGGAAGGGTATTGAGCTGGGAGTGCACACAGGGTAGCAGGGGTGCTATGCAGAACTGGCCACCAGCTACCCACCTGTCCAGGCTCAAAATAGATATGTTCTTAATGCTTATTTGCCCAGCCTAGCCTCGTCCCAATTCACAAGTCCAGCTCCCCAGACTCCCAAAGCTGTGGTTGGGCCTAGCGAGAGCTAGAGAGCGCAGATCTACCTTGGAGAATATTAGTGCTTATTAGTGACTCGTGGGCTGTTCTTTATAGCCTGGTCCACCCCCCCAACCTTCCCCCCACTCTCACCTCAGTGCCCAACACTCCAGTCCACCAGCCCCCCAGACTCCCCGCTGGGTCAGTCCCACCTCTCAGCTATGGTCCTGGAGGCTATTAATGCCTATTAGTGCCTAATAGGCTATGCCTCGCATAGCCTGGTCCACCTCCAACCTTTTGCCCACTCCCAGCTCAGTACCCAACACTCCAATCCACCAGCCCCAACATTGCAATCCACCAACTCACAGGCATCAGTGGTCTAGTGGTAGAATACATCGTTACTATCGATGTGACCCGGGTTCGATTCCCCTGAACTCCCCAAGCTGTGATTGTGCCTCGCAATAGCTAGTTAGCTTAGTCCCACTCCCAGCTATGGTCCTGGAGGCTAGTAATGCTTATTAGTACCTAATAGGCCATCCACCCACTCCCAGCTCAGTACCCAACACTCCAATCCACCAGCCCCTCAGACTCCCCGCTGGCTCAGTCCCACCTCTCAGCTATGGTCCTGGAGGCTACTAGTGCTTATTAGTGCCTGATAGGCTACGCCTTGCATAGCCTGGTCCACCTCCAACCTTTTGCCCACTCCCAGCTCAATACCCAACACTCCAATCCAGCAGGCCCAACATTGCAATCCACCAGCTCGCAGGCATCAGTGGTCTAGTGGTAGAATACATCGTGACTATTGATGTGACCCGGGTTCGATTCCCCTGAACTCCCCAAGCTGTGATTGTGCCTGGCAATAGCTAGTTAGCTTAGTCCCACCTCTCAGCTATGGTCCTGGAGACTAGTTATGCTTATTAGTACCTAATAGGCCATCCACCCACTCCCAGCTCAGTACCCAACACTCCAATCCACCAGCCCCTCAGACTCCCCGCTGGCTCAGTCCCACCTCTCAGCTATGGTCCTGGAGACTATTAGTGCTTATTAGTGCCTAATAGGCTATGCCTTGCATAGCCTGGTCCACCCTCTCCTCCCAACCATCCCCCCAGTACCCAACACTCCAATCCACCAAAGTCCCCAAGCTGTGGTTGTGCCTGGCAATAGCTAGCCAGCTCAGTCACGACTTATCAGTACCTTGTAATGCTTATTAGTTCTTATTAGTTCCTATTCTGTCCCAGGGAATGTGTGTGCATCCAACCTTTTGTTCATTACCCTGAAAGCCTTAAAAGTTCCTATTATGTGTTATTAGTCATTTTGCCCGTTTTGGCTGTGGTTCGGATCTCGGGTACCTGATCTCAGGCCATGGCAACATGGTAAGACACAAGGGAGAAGACAACAGGGGAAGACACAACAGGAAAACAGCAATGGGAAAATGATGCAAAATGAGAAATGTCACTTTTATGATTTGTAAGGCAGAAAAACTTGCTTTTGTAAGATATGGAAATTTATAATGTAACAAATTTGTTTAAACTTGATTTTGGGCATAATTTATGGATAGAAATTGGTTTTTGAACATATTTTGACAAAAAACATTTTTTAAAAAAAAAATAGAAATTTCATTCCAATACGTTCAAAATGAACCAGTGAATGTTTTAAGAAAATTAGATGCACACAAATTCGATTTCAGGGAAATTTATAGTGTAATAAATTTATTAGAAAACAATGTTTATATATCCAAAACATATACATAACACATTCCAAAACATTCCAAATTTCAGTATCTTACAAAAGAAACTTTTCCTGCTTTACAAACCATGAAAATTAATATTTTTCATTTTTGCATCATTTTCCATTTCCTGTTGCAGTTCTCCATTTGTGGTTCTGTTGTAACACGTCCTTGTGCCCTCCCTGTTTTGGATTCCCGTTGTGGGGAAAAACAAACGCCAGGCCTCAGCACGGCCTGAAATCCTAAAAAAACGGGCAAAATGACTATTAACACTTAATAGCTACTAATAAGTTGGGACTGAGCTGGGAGTGGTGGGATGGTTGGGGGGCTCGGCCAGGCTAGGCAGGGCAATGCCTATTAGGCACTAATAAGCACTAATAAGCCCTAATAAGCATTAATAGCCTTAAGGGCCGAATTTGGGAGGTGGGACTGAGCTGGCTAGCTCCGGTAGTCTGGGGGGCTGGTGGATAGGAGTGTTGGGTACCAGCTGGGAGTGAGGGGATGGTTGGGTGGAGAAGGAGAGGAGGGGGAGAGGAGGGGGAGAGGGGCTGGTGGATTGGAGTGTTGGGTACTGAGCTGGGAGTGGGGTGATGGTTGGGGGGGGTGGACCAGGCTATGCCAGGAGTAGCCTATTAGGTACTATTAAGCAGTAATAGCCTACAGGAAATAGCTGAGAGGTGGGACTGAGCTCCCTAGCTCTTGCTTGGCCCAACCAGAGCTTTGAGAGTGTGGGGTGGTGGACTTGTGTATTGGGAGGAGGCTAGGCTTTGCAAGACCTGTTAGGTACTAATAAGC